TCTTCCTATTTCACATTATCTATTATACCTTTTAGTCCTTATTTACATTTTCAGTTTCTCACACTAGAGAAACTATTCGGTATTTAAACAAATCTTGATGCCTGCAGGATCAGATGACAAATGAGCAAAGTACAGCCCTGACAAGAGGGGGCAGTAGTGATTCAACTTCCAGTTTGCTGCTTCCTCAGTGGCACCAGTTTTCCACTTTTTTCCCTTAAAAATGTAAAAGTTAAGTGGAGTTTTTATTATTTATCTATAGAAACTTATGTTTTAAAAAAAGTCGGCAATTCATTTTTTAAAATCTAAGCATGCTAACATACTTGGGTTATTTGGAACCAGTGAGGGTCAATTTGTGATCTCTCAAAAATGCCCCTCTTGTCCTGGGGTGGTAGTGGTGTAGCTCAGTGGTAAGAGGCTTGTCTAGCGTATGAGTGAAGCCCTGGGTTTGACTCCCAGCACTGCAACAAAATCAACAACAAAAAAATGTCCCTTTCCTAATGATATCTGAGAGTTACGCATTTTTTTCAAACAACTTGTAGCAAATATTAGGTCACAGAATTGATTTCCATTGAAAACTCTTTTGTGTATCCTACACATGTACAGTTTAATATCACCCTAAGCAAAATATTTGAGGATGGAAAGCCACAGGGACAATACCCACAGATTTTTCCCACAGACATTTTTAGACTTTCAGATATTTTAGTATATCTCCTACCAATGTCTGGTTGAAGAAGCTCTATCTTTGGAAATCTGAGTTGCTCTCTTCTTCCAGGCTGACTTTGTGCCCCTTTTTAAAATAATTTCATTTCCTAGGGAGTGTCCTGGCCAAATTTCTGGCTCTAGCAAGTCTATTAATACTCTCAGCTCAGTCTTCCTTTCCCATGGACTGGTGGAGATCCAAGGCTGCTGTAGCCACTCTTAAGATGTTACAGCATCTTATAGGTGCTCTCGGACCTGTGCACAAGTGACATTAAGTAGCAGGGCTTGTGTTACTGGCTGTAGGCAAAGATAGGTCAGGGTTGCTGGAATGCACCAGGACATGGACTGGTTTTCTTCCATGCTTGCTAATTCACCTTGGAGTTATGTGACCCTCTCTTAAACTGGCCCGACAATCATAGTTCACTGAAATACATCAGTTAGTACCTGCGCTTGCCTCTTGTTTCCCTCCTCCACAGGTCTTTTCCCAGCCTCGTGATGGTTGTGGCTGTGGAGCAGGGTTATCCTATCTGAGCGGGGCAGGAATCACCTCTCTCCCCTCAGCGGCTCGTTGTCTGGTGCTTTTCCATTCTCGCTAGACCCTTTCCTGTGCTGTGTTAGCACAAGTCAGCTGGGTCGCTGCCAGGACAAGCCTGCCAGGGAGCCCTTTGACTTGTCAGCTTCCCAGCGCCCTGGCTGATGGGACTGTTGGCTGCGTGAAACAGCATGGAAGTAGCCTCATTGGAGTCTGGGTTGTGAGCCAAGCAGCTAGAATTAAAAAGCTCAGTCTTGCCTGGCTTGTCTTATGCCACTTTGGGATGTGTTTCCATGTACTACTCATAGGGTGCTAAGCTAGGGCCATGCTATTGAGTGAAAATCAGGTGGCTTTTGGTGGGTGACAGACTTGAGTTATGAATATTGTCTCAAACTAAATGACCTTGGTCAAGTCACTGAGTCTTTCTTAGCCTCAATGTCCTCATCTATAAAACCGGGGTAAGAATTTTCGCTGGGCTGTCCCAAGGCTAAGGTAATGTATGTGAAGTGTTAGCATAGTCCATGGGCTCCATGTAAGTAAGTGCTCAGTAAATACTAGCTGCTTAAATTTTGTTTCAGGAAGAGCTTACATTTCCTACAATAGTTGCATGTATCATTGTGATCCTGGTGAATGAGGAACGGGAGGAGAGAGCAATCTTGGCTGAGTAATAACAAGCTCTCTCACAGGTCTGGCTGAGGGCCTTTTATAAATATCTTATGGAAAGAATTGTCTTGCCTAAGGACCAAGCTGGCAAGGGATTGTAGGCTTCAGATCTGGGTTACTATGAATTCTATCCGTGCTACCTGCAAACTCAGAGGTGACAAGTGGGGAGGAGGTTGTTCAGAATACCCAACAGGTCAAGAATTAGGAGCAGAGGTGGACGACAGAGGCAAGAAAATTTGGTGTTTGGGCTATGCCTTCTCTCCTGGCCTTTGGTTTCCCCACCTGCAAAATGGGGATGCAAACATGTTCCCTGCCAGTGGTGTGGAAAGAGTGAGAAGCAGTTACAAGTGCTTTGAAGACATGCAAGTGCAAGCCGTGACAACCCAGGAAAACCTCCCTTCTATCTAAGTGGGATGGCAGCCAGTCTGAACAATGAAATAAAAATAAATTGCTCTCTGATTCCTTTGCCGTACACAGTCTCTTAAAAATATTTGCTAAATAGAAGCCCTTGGGGGAATCAGCTTGAAAAGTAAAGAGTAGTAATTGGCAGATCCGTTTTCATTTCTGTTCCAAGAGTGCCTCTCATGTACTTAAGAGTTTATTCTTTTTCAACTAAATTTGTTAACATTATATATCTGTTTGTCAAATCCTTTTTACATAATACAAAGGTAAAGCCTGGCTTTTTAAAAAAATGTCAAATGTGCCCTCCAGATTATTGAATTTTTAAAAAACCAGCAAGGGCAGCTTTTCTGTCTGGAAGAGTCCAAAGGTGTTTGTGCTTTATGCCCTCTCTCACTGTCCCTGTTCCCTCACATCCAAGCCCAGCTCCACTGTCCATTTCTATTTTATCTGAGCCTGAGCTGCCAAGTGAAGCTGGAGCAACTTGCGCAGCCCTGGTGCCTGGCACTCTCCACTTATGAGTTTCGGATGCAACACAGCAGCACTTCATAGTGATCCTTTTTTAAACAAAGATCCTTGAGCCCCCAGCCCTATCCTGGCACCCTTAGCTTTTTTGCTGATTTGTTTCCCGCACTACAGTGCTGAAGCCACACCATTTTGGCTGAAAGCCTTTGTAATGGCAAATCTGGTGTCCTTGTTTTGGTCCTGGTCACATTCTGGCTCTTTGCAGCACTCTTCTTGGGCTTCTCCCTCGACATCACCTCCCCTTCAATGTCCTTTTCCAGCTTTCCTCTGCCATGGTTCCCTCCTGTTCTAAATGTGAGTGTTCTCCCGGGTGCATTCTTGCCTCTGCTTTAATGCCTTGTTGGGCAGTCTTGACCTCACCTGTGGTTCAACTACTACCAGTATCTACCTTGCTGACATCCAGGTGTGTATCTTCTGAATTTTCCTGTCAACACTGAAACATACATGATCTGGAATGGTGTATTATACATCTCTGCCTAGATTTACCATATAGCACAATGGTTCAAGCAGTGACCTGGGTGTGAAACCAACTCTGTAATCTAGTTGTATGACTGAGAAGTTCATTTAAACTCCGAGCATCATCTGTAAAATGGGAGCAAGGCTATCAGAGTTGTGTTTTGAGGTGCCTACCATCTGGTGCTAATAGCAGCAGTGTTTTGCTTTGCCTTCCCCAAGACTGGTAATGAACTAAATCAAGAGAAATTACTGGCTTATTTCTCCCAGGAGAAGTGGAGCTTGGGCAGAGGGCTGCATTTCTCCACTGGGCAGAACCTGGACCAGCACAGCCGGTGATGAATTTGACCCTGATGACTCTGTAGAGGGGAACAATGTCCTCAGGAAAGCATTCAGGAAGCCCTTCGTGTAGCAGTGATCAAAGCTCCGCAGTAGCTCAGCAGGGTGGATAGGAAGGCTCCAAGGAATCCAGCAAGGCTGGGGTTCAGCCCAGGGAGCCACTTAATGCACTTACCAGGTGGTGTGCTCCTCAGTCTCAGCAGACCCCTGGGCAACCCTCTGGGATGAGGAGTCCTGGGCAGGGGTGGGAATGCCTGTCCAGAGCCTGCAGGGCCATCCTGGAATGTCTGTTTTGTCTCATTTTCCCCTTAGCACCTTCCCTCCAGCCTAGGGCCTGAAAGAGTAGAGTAGGCTGGCAGGTGAGCCCTGAAAACCTTGCAGACAGAAAGGGCAGGGTCTGGTCTCTCCATTTCATCGTGAAGCCAATGTGAGAGGCTACAGAGAGGCAGCCCAGTGGTAGAGCGTGTGCTTTGCATGTGTGAGATCCTGGTTTTAATACCTAGTATCAAAAAACCAAAACAAAAAAACGAAGCTGATGTAAAGCTTCTTGTTTTATATGAAACTCATTTCGAGTACTTGCCCCTCATCTCTGAGGAGTTCAAATAGAAGATGGAAGAGCACTGATTCTCTTTATGGTAACAGCGGATCTGAGGCCTGGAGCGGGAAGTGGCTCACCCACGATAACGCAGGATTCTTGGCAGAGCTGGTCCCACCACCCCGTTCCCCCTCCCTCTCCCAGCTTGCCTCCTGTCATCACACTAAGCCAAGGCCAGCCTCTGGCCTGCAGAGTGGCTGGGGTGACGATGAGGGAAACACCTTTGAGTGCTGCTGGCCATCGGACACTGTCATAGCCCCTGTGGCTGGTAGCTCCCCTGACTTACCCCTATTGCAGGCTTTCGCCTGCCTTTCCTGCCCCTTCCACTTTCATTTCCCAATGCGCTGACCAAAGATTAGCTCTTGGGGTAGCTCTGGCCCTTTGATGCTCTCTAAGCTGTTTTCCCCACGTGCAGGAGGGTAGAAGGTCACAGTCTTTCCCACAGATGGGGGTCCTGTGTGTTTATCATTTGGTCGATTGATGGCAAGGGGAACTGTACAGCTGTTGTTGTCCCTAAAGCCTGTCCTTGTTTGCCTCTAGCTTCACTCACATATGCAAGGGCCTGGATGGGCTCACATCTGTCTTCCCACAAACCCCTCCAAGAAACTCTGCCCTGGAGTTAGACTGTTGAAAGCCTAGCACTGCCAAGTTAGCTGTGTGTCCTTTAGCAAGCCATTTCACCTCTGAGTGGCTCAGCCATGTGTCAAACCTGGCTAATATATGATTTATCTCACAGGGTTGATGTGAGGACTAAAACACACAAAGGCCTATGGAACTTGGACTCACACATAGTTATCACTTAGGCAAAGTTATTTATTATGATTAGTAGAATTTCCCCCATTCCACCCATTTAGCCATACTTTAAGACCCTTGTCTCTCTCTAGGCTCTTAAGAGGGGGTGTCTGAGCATAGAGGGGAAACTGAGGCCTACAGTAATTCTGTGGCTGGGGGATGGGAAGGTACCCTGATCCTCTGCACTGTAGCCTGTTATTCGCCATTTCTCTGTCCCCTGCTTCACTGCCTACCCACTCTCCCGTTCCCTTCTCTTGCCTGGTATCACAGCAACTCCCACTGGGTCCCCAGCACCTACATGGTCCTGCCTTGGGCTCACCGATTGGCCTTCGGGCAGATGGAGCTTTCTAGAGGAAGCTGTAGCCGCTGGGGAGCTGAGCTGAGAGGCAGGCTGAGCTGGGCTATGGTGGCTCCTGGAACACTATCTCAATGTGAAGCTCATCTAGGAGTGTGTGAGGAGGAGGACCCCTGACCCTTCCTCATGATCCCCCAGAGAATTCAGGGCTGCCATAATAGCACACCTCTGACTGAGTGGCATAAACAGCAGAAATTTATTTTCTCACCATTTTGGAGGCCAGAAGTTTAAGGTCAAAGTGCCAGCCGGGTTGGCTTTTTTCTAAGTCCTCCCTCCTTGACCTTTGCAGGTGACAGCCACTTTGCTGCCTCTTCATATGGTCATCTTCATCTCTCTGTGCCAGAGCAGCCTTGATGTCTCTTTGTGTCCAAATTTCCTCTTTGAAGATACCAGTCAGATTAGGTTAGGACACACTCAACTTTTACCTCAATCCCTATTTTGAAGGTCTGTCTCCAGATACAGTCACTGTGAGGTACTGTGGGGACTACAACTTCAACACAGAAGTTTTGGAGGGACACATTCACCCCATGACAGGAGGAAAGATGCTGATGGCGTGGAAGGGGCTGCCTCCGGTGAAAGCTCTGCAGAGGGGCAACAGCTGGAGCTGCGGACATCAGGGTGTTGGCCTACGCTGGCCCCTGGCCACATGCTTGGCTCTGGATGAGGCTGGCGCTGGCTCCTTGTCCTCTACCCGAGGGGCTTAGGGTGGAAACTAAATGTCTGAGGCCAGAGGGCTCTGTGAGCAGATTATCCCTGTGGCCTCTGGGGTGAGGGAACAGTCAGCAGGCCCCAGACACAGTCCTACCCTTCCTCTGCCTTATCGGAGCTGGATGCCCATCCGCCTGCAGCCTTTCACCCCAGGCTCTCCTACTGGGGTATGCTGACTTTGAAGTGGGCAACCCTGCTACCTTGGTTTTAGCTGAGCTCTGCATTTCTCCATGTATCCTACCAGGTAGGGAGGGGTAGAAACAGCGCTTGGAATCCAAACATCACTACTGTTATTTTTTCCAGAAGTTTTACCTGCCTGATTGGGTTGGTTTAGGCTGGCATTCTAGTGAAGACTTTCTCCCTAAGCTCATGTGTTTTGTAATAACAGCTGAGGGTAGGGTATGAAAGAAGCGTGCTGGAAGTCAAAAGGGCCGCAGAGGACAAGTGCCTTCCCCTAGAGTCCACCTCCCCATTGTTCTTTCACGCAGCCCCCTTAGGTGGGGTAGGGGTCACCTCGGGCATTGTCCTGCCCCAGCTCTCTGTCTCCCTGTGGGGTCAGCAGTGGTGAGTCTCATGTGGCTTCATGTCCTGCAGTGTCCAAGGGCAGGCAGGATGGATGCTTTAGGTCTGGCCACCCACTGCCTTCTGCCAGACAGAGTCGTGAGTCCCAGGAATGCAGAGGTTTCCTGCTTCTTGGAAAAGGGCTAGAGAGCAACCATCTTCTTCCTGTGGGTCTTCTGAGCCTTGGGAAGCTGAGGCAGACGAATCCTAAAAAAGAAGAGAATGAAAACTGGGCTCATGAGCCCTTAAGGCTAAGTGTGGGGCTGGATGCTTCTTATCTCATTTAGTCATCTTGAGATTCCTGCATACCATGGTTTGTTTCCTCCAGTTTTACAGATGAGTAAACTGAGGCTCAGAGACTAAGTAACTGTAAATCACACCATCGGTGGTGGTGCTGGGAAGAAGGCCTCGGGCTGCTGGCTTTGGATCTCTTTTCTGCCCCCAGTGAAGCTGGCTGTCCTTCCCTTTGCCCTTGCCTTTCTTCCTCTTGGACAGCCGAGGGTGGAGGGTGGGAAAGTTGCCCTGCTCCCCTCCTCTTTCCTTCCACCCCTGGAGACCTCTTTGTTCACTAGATTCCTGCATTCTAAATGGGGGGCGGGGGAGTGCTCCTGACTGATGGAACACAGCTCTCAGGTCTACAGTGCCTGGGAGGAAGTGAATGGGTTGTCACTTCTTGACCTATCTCTCTCCTACCCCTCAACCCTCCCAATGTAGGGAGCCACAATGGCCTGAGGCTGATTCAGTGCCTGGTTTGTTGAAAGTGGAAAAAAATATTCCCAGGGACAGTAGCAGGCAGAACAGGCAGAACTGGGAGCCACCACCTGCCTTGCTCCAGGGCTATTTTTCCAATGCCAGGAACTTTCAATGCCTGGGATATGGCATGGGATTCTACCTTCAAGTGTGGGAGGAGGGAACAAATGGTACCCTCCCCATCCCCCTCTACCTAAAGCTGTCCCCCAGTGCCAAGCAGGGCTGTGGGTAGTGTGGGCTACCTCTTATTAGACTGTGAATGGTGTGGCTCAGCCTCTCATTAGCTCTGTGACCTTGGGTCAGGTGACTTAACAGCCCTGTGTCCTCATCTTTAATATGGGGATTTACTACCTACTTCATCAAGTAATCGAGAGGAGAGCTCTTAGCATAGTGCCCAGCTCCATAGAAGACATTAGCTCCCTACTTTGTCCCAGCTTTCCTGCTAGCTGGGGGGTGGTCTTGATCTTTGACCAGCTTCTGCTCAGAGGGCTAGGTGCAGCGGGGAGTCACAACCTGGGGAAGGGCTGGGGATTTAGCTCAGTGGTTCTGGCAGCTGCCTCGAAAGTGCAAGGTCCTGAGTTCAAACCCCAGTACCAAAAAACCCCCACAAAAAACCCAAAAAACCTGGGGAAGTCTTTTCCCAAGCCCAGCTGGAGACTGTAGAGAAAAGAGGTCTCCCTGCTTCCCCAGTGCTCTTGCTTCATTTTGCTTTTTGCAACATGGAGGAAGCTGAAGGAACTGATTATCCATGCTGGGAAGATAAAGTTGAAGGGTGACTTAACAGGCATTTGTAAGCCTAGCGAAGGTTATCATTCAGAGCAGAGTGACCAGCGAACACCAGGAAATGTGTTTATTGTGTAGCAGCGGTATGTGAGTAGCTATGGGAAAGACTTTCCCAGCAGTAAAGGGCCCAATCCTGGAAAGACAGTAGGTGGGTGTCACTGAGGAAGACTGTGAAGTCTTTAAAAATAGGTCACTTTGTTCTGACTGGTCTTAGGTGGGGTTTGGCTAAGAAGTGGAAGGACTGGTCTGAGGCCAGCAAGTCATTCATTCTCAAGTCAGAAGTCAGGTGAGAGTAGTGGCATCCTCAGGGGACTGAGCTGAATACTGTGGGCAAGTCTGAGCCAGGGGGTAGACAGGGGAAACTCTGCTTCTGCCCCTGTTTGCTTGGCTTATTTTCGGAGACAGCACAGGAAGTAGGCCTTCACAATGTCAGGATACAGGAAGCTATCTGAGTATTGAAGGCCACTTCCTGTGAGCTGGTCATTCACATACATTTGTCACCAGCTATCAGGCCTTTTGGGCCTTGCCATTGTCTGGAGGGGCTGCAAAAGCCTGGGTGCCGCCAGCAGAGACTCTTGGACACAGAATGCACTATTGTACTGAACTGGCAGCACCCCGTGGGGTGGAGAGGAAAATAGGGGGTAAGAAAGGGGACGCCTGCCTCTCATTGTCATGGACTGCACAATGGGGCTGGGGGCTGGGGGCTGGGGTCCTGTCTTGCTCGTGGGAACCTGAACTTCTGACAGAAGGGATCGCTGCACAGGAGCCTGACTTCAGGCATGGCACCAGGTAGAGCTAGAAAGCATCCCAGTACTTTATTAGCATTGGTGGGTTTCATCAGCTCTGATGGGTTTTCTAGATCTCTGCCAGAAGCCAGAGAGATGTAGAATGGGCTCAGTGTTGTGCAGGCCTAGATTTCAAAGTCATCCTTCAGCACTATTAACTGTGTGGCTTTGGGCAAGTTGCCTCACCCTTCTGAGCTTCAGTTCCAATCCTATAAAATGAGGATAGTCATAGGAATGACTCTCTCACAGGGATGGCCATCACTTGAGGCAACCCATAGGAGATTTTAGCTTGGCATCTGGCACATACTAGATGTCTAAGAAATGTCAGTTCCTCCTCCACCCTCATCTTCCCTTCCAGCTCACTTCTGACTCCACCGTCTGGTTCTCCAGTGAGTGAGTAAAGCAGTGTGTGCAGGGTATAAAGAGGTATTTTAATGTCAGCCCAAACAAAGCATCACTCTGCCTTCCTTTATGCCAAAAATATCAAATCAACTACTAATTATCTGCACTAATGGACGGCACAGTAGCAGATAATTTTACTTTGGCCATGTGCCTTTGGCCTTTTGTATGAATCTGGGTGTGTTTGATATCTAGAGGTTATCTCGTGCTAAAAACAGTGTGGTTGCAACAGGGCAGCCCTAGCTCTGGAGGGGTGAGCGAGAGAACTGCCTGGTGGCCCAAGGCTCTGCCCTGCTCCACTCTAGCCAGGCAGTGCTGGAAGAGGCCACAGGTGGAGGCCATGCACTTTGAAGTCAGACACTTGGGTTCAAATCTTGACTACAGTCTTAACCATAATGGTGCGACTAGGGAAGTTATCTGACTGATTCAAGTCTCAGTCACTTCACTTGCAAGGGGGCACTTTCTAAGAATTAATTGTATTTGCTTTGCAGGGTTTCTGTGGAGATGAAATAAGGCAGTGCTTATGCCCATCATTTGAGTGTTTTCCTTCCTTTTTTCCACTTCCTATATTTCCTCTGTCACTTCACCCCTACTCTGAACACACCCCCTCCTAAACTAAACTGAAATCAAAATGAAAAATGCAGCCCCAATTAAAGTGAAAAAATGCAACTCCTTGCTGGCCACTTTTCAAGTGCTCAGCAGCCACATGTGGCTTGTGGCTATGGTATGGGACAGCAGAGACAGAAGATTCTTGTCACCGCAGAATGTCCTGTTACATAGTACTGAGCTAGAGGCTGCAACCACGGAACCTGATACATAGGAGGAAATAAACCAGTGAGCCTAGAGGGTTTAGACAGCTGAGAACCGGGTCAGTAGTACCAGTGGACACTTGGAGTGTCTGCAAGACTTCATGCAATTTTGTAAGTCCTGCTTTGCTTCCCCGACACTGATTAGCCTTGTTAGGGTCCCCCTCCCCTCCCCCGCAGGAGCACTATGCTCCAGCTTTGGCCTGGGTTTCTGCTCTGAACACATCATCTCCTGAAGCTGCAATGCTGAGTTTGCAGTCTGCCCTGAGCATCACATTGGCCTGACACTGGTGGGCTGATTTTTGCCTTGGAGGTAGCTTATCCTCCTTGCTCAAGCTCAGCTTCTAGTCTTTTCTCAACAGCTGTGCCAACAGTGAAGTCCCAGTGTGCCTGGAACTGAAGCCAGTAGTGTTGGACAGGTCTTGAGAGGACCCAGGGACTTGCTCACCTTGGGCAGGGTCACAGACGGTCACAGCAGTCAGAGTTCAGATCCACTGGGCAGGTTAGGAATAATTAGGAATAATCTGGGATTACAATGATGCCAATTGTTTCCAGAGTTGGAAGCGGTCAGGTATCAGGCTCTTGCCCAGTGTGGGTTCAGCTCCCATTTGCATCTTTCACAGCTGGGGATCCTGAGGGAAAGAAAGAGAAGAGGCTGATGCAGGGCCACACTGAGGGGCCCAAATAGGAACCATACAGCCATCTTCTGTTGGTCTGAGGTCTCTCAGTCCTTTCCTCTATTCAAGCCTGGGGCCACCCTCTTCTGCCTTAGCACAGAACAAACTATTCCCTTGTCCCCCTCTGACCTTTTCCTCTTCTCCTCCTGCCCACTTGAAGGTGTGGTCAAAGAGGAGGTCTCCAGGCTTTAGAAGGTTTCTGAACACATTTAACAACTGCCCTTGCCATCCACTCCTGTCCCTGGCTCACTCAACTGCCAGCTGAGGGTGGAGGTATCCGGGGAGGGTCTCAATTCCAGAAGCAACAATGTTGCTGCCTGTAGCATTGTTGGGAGAAACCCAAGGGACAGCTCAACTTGGGACACCCCTGGGGGTGGAGCTTTTCTTTCCCCAGTGCTACTACTCATTGTCTTTCCTATCCTGGGACGATGCAAAAGGGCATGTGGGGGCTGGATAAGGTCCTAGGCAATTGACCAAATCCGACTTACACTTGTCAGGCAGAAAGAAGATCTCATAGTCCTCAGAGCACCTTCAATGATAGACACGAAAGTTCTGGTTCTTACTCTCTGCCTCTCGCCTCCAAATTGTTGTCTGAAGTGGCTCCAACCTCTTACTGCAGATCTGTTTCTTACACACCGAGGGAGGCAGGGCCACAGATATCTCTTAAGTCATAGGTGTTGCAAGAGTCGACTGGCTTTCCCAGATAAGGTACGCACTGGCCCAGGCACCTATCCCCAGGTTAATAAATATAGCCTAGGATGAAGTATTAGATAAGAACATGGCAACTTCTGCAACAGCCTATGGATGGAGCTACAGTTCCTCGAGAAAACACATGGTTTCTTAGATGACATTACAAGGAGAACAGGTGTGACCATGTGAGACATGGGTGTACAATAGTGGATCCAGTCCTCTCTGCTATGGTGATGTTTTAGAAGTGCACTGCCCTTCCAAATGGAGCTGAGGGAAGGATGGCTATGAGGATTCCTAGGACCTGGGTCTAGAAATAAGCACTAAAGGAGGCCCAGGTAGGTGGGTGTATTGGATAGAATGTAGCTGTGGAGTCACAGAGACTGAGGCGTTGAACTGGCTCTGCCATTGCCACAAGAAACTTGGCCTCTCTGACTCTGATCCTTTTGTCTAAAATGAGGTACACATCTCTTCTCGGCCTTTTGACTAAGATCAAGTGTAAAATGAGGTACACAAGATGTGAACTTTCCTGGCCTCACCAACCTGTGGATACAGGTGTAATCCCACTGGCCTCATGCCCCGTCTTTTCTATCTTACCACTCACCTCTGTAAGACCTCAGACTTCTACCCACGCAGAGCCGTGATGTCTCTCAGGTGTTTGTTGTCTGCTATTTCATAATTGGACCCAACTTACAGGGCAGTTGGGCCCTTGAAAGTATCCTCATTCTACATCCAGTGCTGTCCCAGTGACCTCAAACCCGCGACAGCCTGGGTGCCTTACACCATGTTCCTGTTAGTCCTTACTACATAGAACCACTTGGACTTCCATGAAAAATTGGGGGAGAAAATTCTTCTCATTAAAGCCAGATCATACTTTGTCACTGGGCTTAAAGCATTGTTGCCTGTGAACCTTGTCTCACAAAATGCTCCAGGAAAGAAAATTGCGTTGTTCCCTGACAGAGGCTCTGCCTCGCTTTTTCTAAGATTCTTTTTTTTTTCACTTAAAAATTTTTTTTATTAGTACATGTCTGTAGTGCATAATAATTACATTTGTCATGAGGAATTGATACATGTACATTACACATCTTAACTCTTTACATCCCATTCCCCTCTTCCTTCCCAGCTGCATTCCCCCTCACTATCCCTTCCATCTCCTTCCATTTTTCCTTATAACCTATCTTTTATTTTGCTGTTTGTTTATATTTTAGGTTTTTCATATAAGAGAAATCATGTGATATTTAAGCTTGGGTATCTGATTTATTTCATTTAATATTAGTCTCAAGGTACATCAAAGTTCATTTCAGTTGTCCATTTTTTCATTGGGTCTTTTATTTGGGGGATCCAATTTTTTGAGTTCTTTATATCTGGATATTAGTCCCTTTTTTTTGGTTTTGGTTTTTTGAGTCAGGGTCTCGCTGTGTAGTTCAGGCTGGTTTTGAACTCACTATGTTGTCTAGGCTGGCTCAAATTCATGGCAGTCCTCTGCTTCAGCCTCCCAAGTGCTGGGATTAGAGGCATGCACCACCACATCTGGCTAGATATTAGTCTTCTGTCTGCAGAATAGCTGGCAAAATTTTTTTCCTATTCTATAACTTCTTTTTTTTTGGTACGGAGGATTGAACTCGGGCCCTTGTGCTTGCGAGGCAGGTGGTGGAGCCACTGAGCTAAATCCCCAGCTGTTTGTTCCTATTCTGTAGGCTGTCTCTTCACTCTTGGTTGTTTCCTTTGTGGTGCAGAAGCTTTTGAATTTGATACGTATGATCCCATTTGTTGATTCTTGGTGTTCTCTTGTGCAATTGAGGTTCGGTTCTGAAAGTCCTGGTCTAAGCCTATGTCTTCAAAGGTTTTACCTATTTTATTTTCCATCAGATTAAGTGTTTCTCATTTATTTATTTATTTATTTTTGGTCCTGGGGATCAAACTCAGGTCCTTGCCCTTGTGAGGAAGGCGGCAGAACCACTGAGCTAAATCCCCGGCCTGAAAGTATGGCTATTTTGACTACATTGGTTCTGCTTATCCAGAAACAGGTGATGTCTTTCCAATTTTGATGTCTTCTTCAATCTTTTTTTCAGAGTACTGTAGTTTTCATTGTAGAGGTCTCTCACTTCCTTGGTTAGGTTAATTCCTAGGTATCTTGATGCTATTGTGGTAGATCTTGTTTCCCTAATTTCTTTCTTGGTGAGCTTATTATTGGTGTGCAGGAATACTACTGATTTTTGTGTGTTGATTTTGTATTCTGCTACATTGCTAAACTTGGTTATTAATTCAGGAATCTTTTGGTGGAATTTTCGGATCTTCTATTTAGAGGATCATGTCTTCTGCAAATAATGATAATTTGACTTCTATCTGTCCTATACACATCCCTTTTATCTCTTTCTCTTCCCTGATTGCTCTTGCTAATGCTTTGAGAACTATGTCGAACAGGAGTGGTGATAGTGTACCTCCTTGTCTTATTCCTGATTTTAGACGGAACCCTTTCACCTTTACCTATGTAATATAATATTGGCTGTTGGTTTATCATAGATGACTTTTATCTGATTGAGAAAAGTTCCTTCTTATACTCTTCTTTTTTTTTTCTGTTAACATGAATGCAAGTTTTATTCAAGAGGTATTTAAAAAGAGGTGAATTCTAGGGGCTGGGGATTTAGCTCAGCAGTTTCGCCCCCTGTTGCACAAGTGCAAGGACCCGAGTTCGATCCCCGGTACCAAAAAAAAAAAAGAAAAAAAAGAGGTGAATTCTAATAAAGTTTTCGAGTTATCCACCCTACAGTAAAGAGTAGAAGTGGGTACCATTTATGACACACAAATTCCAACTTAACATTTCTGAATAAAGCTATAATGATTTGAGTCATTTAACTTTTGCTAATAAGGCTCAGAATTGTGCTCAGAAACTGACAGCACACACAGAATCCTCTTAGAAAAAGGAGGTGCCAAGGATTTTCACTTCAGGCTGAGTACCTCTAAGTACTTAGAGTTTGTAACTTGAGACTGAATATTAGTACTACACGAATTCAATTTGAATCACCTTCACTATGATGTTTATCTACCAGTTATTTTTTAGAATTAGGTCAATGTTTATTGACTTTATGATGTTCTCAAATTATACGATTATATATGGTAGTCTCAAAAATATTCAAGGTCTTAGTTTGTAATTTCTCTTCAATGTAATCTATAATGTTAATGAATATTAAAGCAACTGTAGCTTTCTTCTAAAAATTATTTGTTACAGTACAGATCACATTCTATTTCATAATTCTGATAGAGAATCTGTTTTCTGGTAATAAGAATTTAGGATGATTCAGTCCTTGGAAAATCTTAATGGCAGTCACTCACTAAAGTCAGTCACTCCTTGAGTCAAAAACACTCAAATTGCTATCATTGACTGAGTTTCTGGTTTTTAGTTGTTGTTTCTATTTTTGCTGATTATTGCTTTAGTTGGTAACATCTAGATTTAAAACATAATATCTCCACTAAATCTAATGTCAAATATTACAAAATTTATACAGAACACAAACTCATAGAGGCTATAAAGCTGATGTTTTAGGGAACTCATCCTTGAAATGGGTGCAGAATTTTTAGAGGGTATTCAATAACATTTTGCTCAAAAAATAAATGCCCCTACTTTTCAGAGTGTTCCCATTCTTCACTAGGAGACTGAGCAGCTTAACATTTTTGCTATAAAAACCAACCACTTGAACAAAAATGTAAGAGGAAACCAATAAAGAACATTTTTTTTTACAGTTAACAATAAATAAAAGTGCAATAAGTGTTCAAGTAGGGCATGTAGTTTAAAAACTACATATGACTATTTGGCATAGGTTATCTCTTAAAGGCTCTTTGTGGGTCCCTGCCACTACTTATTGTGGTCATGACTGTTTGATTATTAGCTGCTGCTGGGAGTTGTAGACTGACAGGTCCTTGGCCATTGCTTCTACCAGCATAGGAAACCTGGTATCTCCTTGATTCAGGGCTAGTTTGAACACCATTGCCCACTGGTCCAAAGGTACCTGTATCAGTATGACTATTCATGGAACTGATCTTCTGTTCACTGTGGGCCCCTTTGTTCGGCTGTTCTTGATAATCTGGGTTGGGCTCACTGAAATTTGGCACTTCTGAATAAACCATGCAGAATTCCCCAATTTTCTGAAGCTCACCACCCCTTCCAGTATCAAGTGTCAGGCACCCTTTCCACATGGATGCATACCCTCTGGTCAACGGAATAGTATCCCCAGGCTCTATAAGACCTCCGATCTCATCCCACACAGAAATAGTGATGCTGCCCCTTTTATCTGCCACTTTGCACGATCTCACTTCATGGCCGTCTTTGGTTTTGGTCACGCGTCCTATCTCCAGCACAATAAAGACGACATTTAAGTTTTTCTGTCCGGGCTTAATGTCCTTTATGAAAACAGGCAGGTCGCCGAGCCCGTTCATAGCGAGGCAGGTGCGGGGATTGGGTGGGGCGGGGGTCGGGGCAGGGAAGGCCCAGGGGCGAGGACGGTTACTGGGGACCGGGAGCCAAGCCTGGCGGCCCCAAGCCAAAGGCAAAACCACTTCAGGAGAAAAACGCGAAGCGCTCCCCCAGCAACCCCGCTCCCAGTGAGGACGGCGAGCGGATAAAGGTTAAAAAAAAAGGCAGTGAGGGCACACGTCTGTGCTGAGCCCGGCACACACACTCGGGCGCGCGCCCCGTCCCGGGCCCGGGAAGGCACCGATTGTGACAGCCGCACGGGAGCAAAGACGGAGCAGCCGCGCGCCCCGCGTCCCAAACACCGACTGCCTCTTATACTTATTTTCTTCAGAGTTTTTTTTTCTTTCAGATGAATGAAGGTCAAATGCTTTTTCTGCATCAATAAAGATGATTATGTGATTTTTGTCCTTGCTTCTGTTTATGTGACATATTACATTTATTATTTGCCTATGTTGAACTATGCCTGCGTTGGAATGAATCCTACTTGGTCATGATGTTGATCTTTTTGATGATTTGTTGCATCCTATTTGCCAGTGTCTTGTTGAGGATTTTTGCATTAATGTTCACTGAAGATACTGGCCTGTAGTTTTCTTTTTCGGTTGGGTCCTTTTCTGATTTTGGAATCAGGGTAATACTACCTTCCAAGAATGACCTTGGATAGGCTGGGGATTCAGCTCAGTGGTGCGGCACCTGCCTGGCAAGTGCAAGGTCCTAAGTTCGATTCCTGGTACAAAAAAAAAATACTTTGGGAGTACTCCTTCCCTTTTGATTTCATTAGAATTTGAGGAGTATTGGTATTAGATATTCCCTAAAATTCTTATAGAATTCAGGAATGAATCTATCAGGATCCAGGCTTTTCTTAGCTGATATATATATATATATATATATATACACACACACACACACATACATATACATATGTATTTTTTTATTTTTTGTTTTTTTGGTACCTGGGATCAAACTCGGGTCCTTGTGCTTGTGCAGTAGGTAGGTGGCGAAACCACTGAGCTAAATCCCTGGCAATGTATTTTTTTTTTTTTTTAACTTCTTCAGTCTCATTCTGTGATTACTCAGTTTTTGTTTTTGTTTGTCTTCTTGGTTCAGCTTTGGTAGTTCATATGCATCTAGGAATCTATTTCCTCTGAATTTCCATTTTATTAAAGATTCTCTACTAATAATCTTCTGAATTTCAGCAGAAATCCTGTTGTGATTTTGTCTTTTTCATTTCTAGTTGCATTATTTGGTTTTTTCTTTCCTTTTTGTTCTAAGATTGGCTAGGGTTTGTCTATTTTGTATATTAACCCGCTTTTCAATTCATTGATTCTTTGTATTTTTTGGTCACAATTTCCTTAATTTTTATTTGATCTTTATAATTTCCTTCCTTGTGCTACCTTTGGATTTGGATTGCTCTTCTTTTTCTAGGACCTTGAGGTGCATCATTAAGTTATTTATTTGGGCTTGCTCTATTTTCCTGATGTAGACATTCAGTTATAAACTTCCTTCTTGGGACTGTTTCCTTTGTGTCCCATAGGTTCCATTATGTCATACTAGCATTATCGTTTGCTCAACCTGCGTGGTGTATTCATTCTGTTAGATTTTTTTTTTTTTTTTTTGGCATTGCTGGCTTCAGTGACTCTAGGATATCCTTGAGAATTTTTTGCAGTGCTGATTTTGTGGTCATGAATTTCTTGAGGTGCTCTTTGTCATGGAAATATTTTATTTCTCCATTAATTTTGAAAGAAAGTTTTGCAGGATATGTAAGTCTGGTTTGGAAGTTGTTATCTTTCAGGACTTGAAACACTTCACTCCAAGCTCATCCATCTGATCTTTAAGGATTGTGTTGAGAAGTCTGCTGTAATTCTATTGAGTTTACTTTTATAATTGATTGTTTTTTTCCTCAAACAACTTTTAAGATTTTTTTCTCTGTGTTGGACTTTTGGTATTTTGACTGATGGGTTGTAGAAAGGTTCTCTCTCTCTCTCTCTCTCCCTCTCTCTGTACTGGGGATCAAACTCAGGACCTTGCACTTGCAAGGTAGGCACAGTGCCACTGAGCTAAATCCCTGACCCATAGAGAGGTTCTTTTTTGATTGTGGCTCTTTGGGGTTCTATATGGCTCACTTATCTGTATGTTGAATTCTTTCCCTATATTGGCAGAGTTTTTTGCTACTATTTCTATAAGCAAGTTTTTTATGCCCTCTGTGCTGTGTTCTTATTTTCACTTATTCCTTTAATCTTAGATTAATCTTCTTCCTGTCATCTAGCAGCTGTTGAATCCAGTTTTCATGTTCTTTTATTGTTCTTAAGATATTTCTGAGTAGTTGGTCTTTTAAAGCATCCCTATCTTCTAACTCTGATATTCTCTCCTCACACTGGTCACTTCTACTGCCCATGTAGTCAATATAATTTTTAATCTCCTTTATTTCTGTTTGAAACCTTTTCATAGACTCTAGTTCTTTGCTAAATTGGTCATTCATGTTTCATTTAGATCATTTTGTTTAGATCAGCTAGCTTTTTTTTAATGTCTTATGTAAGCTCCCTGATTGTTTTGTTTATTGCCTCCATTATCTGATTAGTTACATTTTCTGTGATCCTGCTGAGCACTTCATTGGTCTGTTTTTTAATCTTCTTTTGAATAATTTGGCTGTGTTTCTTTTGCTTTCCTCCCCCTGAATGCCCCATGAATCGGCTTTGGGTGAATTGGAATTTTGTGAGGCATTTTGTGGCCTTGTCTGCTTATGTTTCTATTGTTCATTTATTTTGTTTTGTGCTTTGGTATATGGTTGGTTATAGGGCAAAGATTGCTGGTATGGAGATCTCTTTGGTTAGTCTGCTTTTTAGTGATGCACTTGGGGCATGGCTAAATAGAGTTCTTTGCCTCCATCCCAAGATTCAATCGCCTCCGTTAATATGGGTGGGAAGGATGCAGTGTAATTGGCCCAGCACTTGGTTCTTCAGAAATTGACCATGATGTTGTTAATGACACAAAGATAATCTGAATATTTGCATATAGAGAAAACCTATTAATAGCAGCAACTATGTGACATGGGCAATATCAGGTAGATCAGCAACAGTAATATCATCCAAAACAAAGTGGATACTGACATACCATAAGAACCAATAATGCACTACCCTTAACCTTAGCAAAGAAATCTGTAATTATAGTAGAAGTCCTAAGACAAACCAAATATTGACATTCAGCAAATATCTACTAAATGTGATAACTACACCTCCACTAATAGAAAATAATTCAACAGTAGTAACGGAGTTAACTATCTAAAGATTTAAAAAGCTTAAAGATATTGGGGGTTTAGAATGAGAGAATATGTGAATGAAAATTTGAAAAATTAAACAATGGGAGATGAGAAGGAGAAGAGTAAAGTGAGACAAAGGATACAATTATGGAATAGAAGGATTTTTATAGATAAAGGAAACAAAAAAAAGAGAAATAGAAGGTAAAAGAAAAGGAGAAAATAGAAATAGCAATACAAAAAATCAAAAAAGTAAAAAGTTAAAAAAAAGGAGTAAGAAAAAGAATAAAGAAAGAAAAGAAAAGGAATCCAACAATAGAGAAAACAATTTTTTTCTCTATATTTTTGAATTAGTAGTTGCCTTCTAAGATCCACAGTTTTGGGGTCCAGCAGGTATTCCAGAGGCACCCCCCCCGTTTACTCCAGACTGTGGCAATGTTCACCCCAAGACATGTTCTTGCTCACATTGGTAGACAGGGAACACAATCAGACCTCAGATCTGTGCTGGGTATAGGCAGTAGGGCAAGGGTTCAAGTTCTTAATTCTGGCAGGCATTTTCAGACTCCACTGTTTTTTAGTGCAACTCAAACTGGGCCTGGCTTTTCACTATGGGGGGTGGGGCCCATGTCCTTCCCAGCCTGAGTTTAAACTTCTCAGGGGATCTCTTTCTAGCCCTCAACCTGTCCATAGCTATCTCTTGTGGCTGTCTCGACCAGTCACTGTGGAAAGATAACACTTGGAGCCCTGAAGTGAAGTTGCTTTTTAGTTGTAAGCCATCCCAGATTTAAATAATCAACTCCACCCTGAAAATGACACCTGATCAAAGCACTTTCTGGTGATATGGCTAGTGCCCATGCTGGAATCTGGCTATTGCTTGCTGTGTGGAAGGAGTTCCCTCAGAGAAAAATCCCATGTTGTTTTTGCAGTTCACAAAGGCTGTGGGCTCTGCCACCATTTCTCCATGGATCTCTCAGCCCTAGGTGCTTACCTTGTTTCTAGGGATCCAGGTTCCCCAGAGCCATAAGAGCCAGTGAAAGCGGCCAAATTATTTCCTTCATTTCTCAGTGTTGTGGACCGTCTTTCTCATTTCTCTGTAGCTTCCCATTTTTCCTGTCAGTTCCTTCCTGATTCTCGGTAATCTGCTTCTCCTTCTTTCTTTGCCATGCTTTTATTTTCTAGTGTCTGGATTCTGTATCTCTCAGAGATCCAGGCTGAAGTTTGCTACCCATCACCATGCCACCATTTTCTTTCCTCTTCCTAAGGTTCTGATCCAGTCCTGGGAGCTGGGCAGGGAAAGGTTATACTGTGCTGGCCTCTCTTTCTCTAAGACCCTGCCTCCTACATACTCTTTCTACGTTGGGGCCTCCTCTTGTTAGCGGATGAAAGGAGGAGGGAAACCATTCTTCAACATATCAAATATAACCTGACATTGAATCTTGATTTAGCCTCATCTAGAAAACCCTCTTCAGCAGAATTACTGTTATTATTATTATTATTAGTAGTAGTAGTAGTAGTGGTAGTACTGGGGATTGAACCCAGGGCCTTCTGCATGCTAGGCAAGTGCTCTACCCCTAAGTTATACCCCCAGTCCTTTTTGCTTTATTTTGGGACAGAATTGTGCTAAATTGCCCACGTTGGTTTCAAACTTGCAGTTCTCCTGCCTCAGCCTCCCAAGTAGCTGGGATTATAGGTATGTACCACTGTGCCTGACACAATTTTCTT